TCTCTCTCTCTCTCTCGCTCTCTCTCTCTCTCTCTCTCTCTCTCTCTCTATCTATCTATCTATCTATCTATCTATCTATCTATCTATCTATCTATCTCTCTATCTATTCTATCTATCTATTCTATTTATCTATTCTATCTGTCTGTCTGTCTGTTTGTCTGTCTGTATGTCTGTCTGTCTGTCTATCTGTCTGTCTGTCTATCTGTCTGTCTGTCTGTGTGTCTGTCTGTGTGTCTGTCTGTGTGTCTGTCTGTGTGTCTGTTTGTGTGTCTGTCTGTCTGTGTGTCTCTCAGTCAGTCAGTCTGTCTGTCTGTCTGTCTGTCTGTCTGTGTTTCTGTATGTCTGTCTGTGTTTCTGTCTGTCTGTCTGTGTTTCTGTCTGTCTGTCTATCTGTCTGTCTGTCTGTCCGTCTGTCTGTCCGTCTGTCTGTCTGTCTGTCTGTCTGTCTGTCTGTCTATCTATCTATCTATCTATCTATCTATCTATCTATCTATCTATCTATCTATCTATCTATCTATCCATCTCTATCTATCTATCTATCTCTATCTCTATCTATCTATCTATCTATGTATCTATCTATCTATCTATCTATCTATCTATCTATCTGTCGCTATCTCTGTCTATCTATCTATCTATCTATCACTATTTCTCTATCTCTCTATCACTCTATCTATCTCTATTTTATTCTCATTTTGCACATTCGAAAGTAGAATCTCATTGGAGTAGCTATTTTTTTTTTTTTTCAACACGTGTTTTTCTTTTAGTATGTTTCATCCCTGTTCTTCTTTTTTTTTCTTAAGTAGAATCTCGTTGGTGTTTTTCCTTTTCTTTTTTTTTTTTCTTCTTTTTTTTAACGATGGAAGTCTGTGGTACTACCTGTAGGACAAGGCTCGACAGGGTTCGACATACCGGTTGGCTCAGGCTCGAAGTTGATAAATAAGCAAGGTACGGGTGTCCTCCGCCCTAATTGACGGTGGAGTAGGGTGAGGGAGTCGGTGTTTGGGGGGTGTGGGGGGGTAACACAAAGGTCGATCATTTTGCCAGAAGATGCACCTCCCATCTACTTCCCTCACTTCCATGAGTAACAACAGTGTCTGTGACCAACACTTTCCCACACACCACACAAAATCCACACACACAAACACGCACAACCATGATGGTCAAAAACCTTACCAATATGGAATAGGGGAGCAAGTCAACTTTTTGATTTCGTTGGCACCAAGACGCAGGTGGTTAGTGGGCTGGTGATTGAACCCATGACCTCCTGAATGCTACTTGCCTACCTCAATCGATTGAGCTAGGCCGCTTGCTCTGGTCTTTTTTTCGGCAACACATTCTTTCTTGTGTTTCTTGTGTCTGATCCCTTCTTGGGCAACAAGCTCGTTCTTTTGTTTCCTGGTGGCTTGTTTATGGCCTGTGGCTTAGTGGTTCGGGAACCAGTTGGAAACGCACACTGCGTGTCTAAGGTGGCAGGTTCAGAACTCCGCACCCACGCGCAGGGACACTGGCGGGTCTTTACATAACACAATCATTTTCGCACACCCTTGGGTTGATGCAGGGTAATGATTACAAACACTACCTACGCACCACCCAAGGGGTTTAGTCCATGGTTGTATGTTAGGTCTACTCTATTAAAGGTTTGCCTGACGTTCTTGGTCCATGGGGTTGTCCGGATGATTGTGGGGTTCAATATCTGATAAACGAAGAAAGTTGGCGATGTTGACAGGATTATCGGAGACTGGTCACGTAGCAGTGGTTACCTTAGGGTTTTGCTTTGGGGGGGCATGGGCTATGGCCCCGGGTGGAATTCAATCAGGGACTCCGCTGGGGGGAGAGTAGGTAGGACAAGACTCCATTCAAGGATGTCGTTGGGGAACCTGCAATAGGGGATGCCTTAGGGGTCCCATTGGTAGGAGTGGAGGAAAGAGAGGCTCCAGTGGAGAATATCGTTGGGGAACTCGCCCTACTAGTAGAGGCTGTCTCAACGGGTGAGGGTGGTCTGCTACCTGTGTGTCGTACCAACTTCTCTACCTGAATGATTTTCTAAAGCCCTGAATTTTGCTAGTTGTGTTAGCGGGGCTTAAAARCCTTCTTTTTGGTTGAAACATAGAATTCGTGAAAACCCGACAAAACAAATTGTTAGGTTTGCACGATTTTTTTTTATAATTCTGATAATACATTTTATACGCCTCCTACATCAACGAAATTCTATGTGAAGTAAATTAACCRCAAAAAAAAATAGAAAAATAGTTTTTCAGAACCACTGAAACTAGTGAGGAGAGAAGCAAGGTTTTTTACAAAAAATCAGTGCCTTGCAAAACACCGTTTGTTCAAAAACCAAAATATCCCAACGTTTTTTGTTTATCTTAAGAATCCATATTTATAGTTCTATAAGGTATGTAGCACGACGAACCTGTTCGGGGGTTTCTCAAATACGCACACATATTCTCTTGTTCATGAATACATTCGCTTTGATATGTTCACTCATACATCCACGAATATATTATTTTTTATATTTTTTATATTTTTTAATTAAAACATATTTCAATTTTATTATTTTAAATGAAATTAAATCGTGGTTGGCTAAGAATTTGAGGATGTTTCCCAAACAAAAGTTGTTTGAATTCTCATTTCACATGACATTTATTTTTTTGCAAGGGTTTTACAATTAACTTAAAAATTAGTTACATTAATTTATAGTTCTATAAACTAGTTTTCACAGAGTCCGCTTTTTACCGAACTGCTGAAAATGACTTATAGTTCTATAAATGAGTATTCACTGAAACTGTTTATTTAACATCTTTCGAGTCCTTAAAGATTATTTTGTTTGAGTTGTGTTTTTTGTCAATATACTAAGAAAGACTTATAGTCTTATAGCATATAATTTGCGAGAAAAAAAATTCTTGCGCATTTTCAGAATCGCTAAATTTTTTGCTCGCTTTTTCCCCTCCTTTCTCGGGAAACAGTTAAAAACGCTATCTTTTCTGTGTCAGATATAACAGTTTGACGTTCACTTTTCATTCTATAAAAAATGTTAGGTTTTGTTAGGTTTTCATGAATTCACTCTTTTGATGGATGGTACCTAGAGTCAATGGCCTGCAAGGCCCTTTCACTTTTTTAGACTTGTTGTTTTTCTTTCTTCGGACTTTTTCGCWGTTTCTTTCGAACGATTTAGAAATGTATGTAGGAATTACGCACGCCTTAGYGAACGCACTAGGAATTTGTTCGAGAGTTACGAAATTCAAAATTTGTGGTYTCCTCTCCCGCCGACGTGTCATTTCTTGCAAGTAAATTCACTCTTGAAGGCTCTGTGAATGTTCAGGAGAAATCTAAATAGGAGTAGGATTTTTCCTGCGTCCAATCTTGCGCGCGAAAATCATATTTGAATTTCTAAGTTTTAAAAGTTAGAATGGACGAAACATAACTATTTTAATGTCTTTTTGTACTTGTATCGGTGCCATGCATGCAAGCTTCCCCCACTTTCCGCTATAACCATGCCATTTTCACCTCTCTCTTCTTCGCGCGCTCCACCCGTAGACATTTTTCATCCGCTCCCTCTGCGCTTCTTTCCTTGTCCATTTCATGTGAATCTTGGTCTCAATTCATACTACTCTTCGCACCTTCCTTCTTCTCGCCTATATCCCCATACAGCAACTCTCYTACAGCAAACTGTCGAGCACATCAAGAAAGCACAAAATACTATAGTTGTATCTGATAATAGACACAGATAACCATCAACATTTCAAATAGGTGAACGAGTCTGGGTAAAGTCGTGAGAGTTGGGACAAAGTTGGGACACCAATTAGGAATCTCTCGCACATTGATGCCATAGTGCTTTGRACCTTGGGATCWGGACATAGAAGGAGATCAGCCAAATGGTCCATCATATGCCATTCGCATCCCTAGTCACCTCCGTACACAACATAAAATTTATAAACTGAAATTATGCGTGAAAGTTGAACTTTCGGTTCAACTTTAATTTTTTTGTGCGTACAAGGAGTTTTGGTTTTAATTTGATTCTCTGGGTAACTTTYCGTCCACTACTAAAAGTTCCTTSTCACATGAAAAAAGATGCAGCATTTCAGTTTTCTGAGATTTGGTTTATTTATTTATAAGTTTTTTTTCAAACTTTCTTTTTCGTACTTGTGAAATCCCTTGCTTTTCCAACTACGGCTGGGTCCTACCTGTGCTTTATTTGTTGCAAGAGGCTAACACGGACTGACTGGCAGCTTCTGTGGACCACCGATTGATASAAAATATCATGTAGAAGGCTACCATCGAGGGACTGGAGGCGCCCGAGGACTATTGATTGACACAAATTCGTCTCAATTGATGRYCCCTACTAGGCGCCACCAGTCACCTTGTAGTAGCCTCTGGCAACAACAATGGGCCGCGCTCCACTACTCTCAGAATGTGCAAAACGATACTGAGTCTTCCCCTAAAACATGGAAAGACACACGGCCACAATTCGTATCTTTTGTGCAAGTCGAGAGTAGTGGAGTGAGGCTCAGTAACGCRCAGGTGGGACGCACCTTAGGTTGCATTTTCAAAATTTTTGGGAAGGTGGAACACTCCCGCCACAAAATCACTTYCCGCCTATCTGGAAGAACATGTTCGGACAGTTCGGTCGTTCGCCCGACTGCGGCGCGAACACGTTCGCAAGAACGACTTTCGGAGGCCGGCGAACGCATCCGTCGCCGGGCGGTACCGCCATACCGGGCCCGATAGGGTGGTCAGGGGGCCTTGTGGGGGTTGGGGGTTTGGTTGGSGGGGTTGGGCGGGTGCTGGCCCGCTCGTTYGAATTCGAACGYRCATACGGGCATCGCCAGCAACCCCGCCAGTCACCCGTCCGTGGAGCCGTCACCGTCTCGTCGTCTCCGTCGCCTCCCAGGTGAGAAACTACGTCGCCTCCTCCTCCTCCCCCTCCTTCTCCTCCTCCTCCTCCTCCTCCTCCTCCTCCTTCTTCCTCCTCCTCCTCCTTTTCTTCTTCATCCTCGTCCTCTGACTCGTAATCCGCCATATCCTCCCCGTTCTACTCGCCCTCCAGGCCCTCCACCTCGTCCTCCTCATCTTCTTCCTCCTCCTCTGCCTCGTCGACCTCCTCCACCTCCTCCTCGTGTTCTTCCTCCTCCACCTCGTCGACCTCCTCCCCCACCTCCTCCTCCTCCTCGTCATCTGCTTCTTCCTTCTCGTCTTCCTCCTCCAAGTCTACCTCCTCCTCCTCCTCTTCCTCGTCGTCCTCCTCCTCCTTGTCCTCCTCCTCCTCCCTCCTTGTCATCGTCCTCCTCCTCTTACCAACACGCGATGGCCATGTCATCAAGCGCCATATTTTGTTTTATAACTTTTATTTTTTATTTTCTTCAAACTTCTGCGTCTTGTTCTTCTCCTTCCTCCTTCTCCTCCTCCTCCTCGTCCTCCCCATCCTTCTCCTCCACCTCATCGACCCTCACCACCTCCTCGTGGTCTTCGACCTCCTCCTCCGCCATATTGGAGTCCTCCTCCCCGCCTTCCTCCCTCTCCTCGTCCTCTTCTTTCTCCACCTCCGTGTCGTCGACCACCTCCTCGTCCTCCTCCCCCTCCTCCCCCTCCTCCTTCGCTTTATCCTCTTCCTCCTCTGACGAACGCACGGCTGCCACGTCAGCACGCGCGACTTTTCTCCTCTGTTCTGACGTGGCAGCCGTGCATGCTGACGTGGCAGCCGTGCGTTCGTCAGAGGAGGAAGAGGATAAAGGGAAGGAGGAGGAGGGGGAGGAGGGGGAGGAGGACGAGGAGGTGGTCGACGACACGGAAGTGGAGGAAGAAGAGGACGAGTAGAGGGAGGAAGGTGATGAGAAAAAACAGCAAAAAAAAAAGTCGCACTCCTCCCCATCCTCCTCCTCCGCCTCGTCAACCCTCACCTCCTCCTCCTCCTCCTCCTCCTCCACCTCCTCCTCCTCCTCTTTATCCTCCTCGTCAACCTTTTCTGCTTCTTTCTACTCCTCGTCCTCCTTCTCCATTCTCTTCTCCTCCTCCTCTTCCTCCTCTAACGAACGCGCGGCTGCCACGTCAGCATGCGCGAGTTTTTTTTCCCCTTTTTCTTCCTCCTCTTCTTATTCTTCCTCCTTTCTCCTCCTTCCTCCTCCTCTTCCTCCTCCTCCTCCTACTGATCTCCTCCCCCCTCCTCCTCCGCCATTTCCACATCCTCCTTCTCTTCTCTTCCTCCTCTTCAACCATAGCTACACAGCCTACACCCTCCCGATCATCTTCTTCCTCCCCCTCCAAGGCCTCCACCTCGTTGACCTCCTCCTCCTCCCCCTTCGACCTTCTTCCTCCTCCCCCTTCGCCTTTCTTCCGAAGGGGAAGGATGATCAGCATCGGCGCAGGAAGGCTTTCGTATGCAGATGGTGGGATTTAAGTTTGGAGCCGCCTCACTTGCATCTGCTGTCACTTCACGCGCCGATAGGTACTTGTCTTCTRGCAGTCCCACAYAGCGGCGGAGACGGGTGAGTGCCCCCTYCTTCCTTCYGGTTACAGTGGGCGTGGCGGARAAGGCATTTGAGGGTTCACCATGSGAAAGTTTCCCCGACGATCTTTTCTTGGTAAGTTAAAAAAAAAATAAAAAAAATGTCTTTAACTTGTTGCCAATGCGATTGAAGCTCGTGGACGACCGACAAATGGGCTGTTCGTCGTTGAGGACAGGGTTCCTTTTTGTTGTCAAGTGTCGGGCCCTTTGTGCTCTTTTTTACGAGGACAGACGGAGTAGGGGGGGGGATTCTGATGATGGCGGTATTCCCTCACCAATGCACGGAAGCAAGCGTTGAGGACTGAGATCCTGATCGACTGTCAGTGATAGGGACCAAGGTGGCTGTGTACAAAAGGACAGAGTTGGGGCAACTTTATGATAGAGCCCGGATGGGGCCGCCGGATTTTATCTGGACACCTCTTCGATGACAGAGACGAGGTAACCTCTCTTGACCTTTACAATGGGTCAGGTGTGCACCATGGGATTTCTCCCTCTTTTCCCTCACAGCTTCCTTCCTCTCGTTGGGGGTGCTAGACAGAGGGTTACAGGTAAGTCCTATTCGGACGCGTAAATCTTGATCTGGATGGGGGTGAAGGTTCCTGACCTCCTCCTTGCTAAGCCTAACCTAGGTGTAGAGGGTAGCAGAAGAAGCTTACATGCGTTCTGAGAGTGCATCGTACCATCAGGAAAAAAAAAAAAAAAAAAAAAAGGCTCTAACACTGACTAACAGTGCTAATTGTAATTGCTAGTTACACTCTTGGCATTCCTCATCAGAGTCCGATCAGACACGATTGATGTAGGTTGAAGCTAACCGTGAGGGGCCTGCAGGCCTGGGTGTGCTGGTGGTTTAAGAGGAGGTCATCTGCTCCATGGTGATCACAAATCCATCCGGTCAGTGGTTGATGTGGGGTAAAGCTAACCGTAAGGGTGTAGACAATCCGATCAATGTCAGTGGTTGATGTGGGCTGAAGCTAACCGTAAGGGTGTAGACGATCCTCCCCATATGACCTCCTCCTCCTACCCCTTCGCCCCCGAACCCCTTTATATATATATATATATATATATATATATATATATATATATATATATATATATATATATATATAATTTGTTCTGGTGGTGATTTTAGCACCCTTGTCTGCACCCCGGTTGGTTTAGTTCCGTCGTTCGGCTTACGGTAGTAGCCCTGTAGCGGTGATTTCATGTGGGACTTGTCAGCCGGGTTTTTTCTTTTTTTGGCATTCTAGGTGGTTGCTTCCCGTTGTTCGGCCTGTGCTGGGGGCGGTGCTTTTTGTGGGAATTAACATCTAGGATTGTCCTTTATGTTTTTTTGTTGTTGGTGTTGTCCCAGTAATTTAGTTTAGACCAGCGAAGCGGTGGCTTGACAGTTTGAATAGGTACCAATTTTTGCAACAACAACAATAAATCAATCGCAAAGGATTCTTGGAGCTGACGCGCACGAAAGGTATGTTATCTGGGATTGTTTATTTGCAGGCAAGGGTGTTCTTGAATCCTGGTTGGTCTTGTCCCGTTGTTTGGCCCTGGTGGTGGGGGCGGTTCTGGCATGTGGGACTTGTCATCTAGATTGGTTTATGTTTGCTTCCCCCTGTTTTGTTGTATTTGGTTGTTCCCTTCCTCTTTTCTTTGCCTCTTTGCCTTTTGGCTATGTGCAAGTGGGTCGATATGATACACGGGGGTGGGGGCAGCCGCCGCTCAACCTACATCCACGTGGGCGGCCTTGTACGCAAGAGGTTCTGAACAGGGGGAGTTAAAAGAAAGAAGATAAATAATTGAATTCACTTTTCTTTTCTTCTTTTTTTTATTTTTTTCTGCATTTGCACTCTGATATTTTGTGACAATATATATATATATATATATATATATATATATATACACACATATATATATATGTATATATATATCGGCGTGTCTAGAGTGTATTTTTTGGCTGTGACAGACGTTTCTTTGTTTCGTGGATGTTTTGCATGGTTGTGATGGGGTGTGAACCGACAGTCTATAGAGTTTTCCATCTGGTGTGGGTGAGTGATAGTCTACTTTGATTTTGGTTAAGGTAGATTATCATTTACAATGTAATAAGTGAGGAGATTCTGCAGACTGTTGAGGGTTCAGCCTCCTGATGAGTCGGTGAAACTTCGACGAAACAGTTTGTCACAGCCCCTCGTTTGTTGTCCTCTTCTCTCTCTCTGCCTACGGTTTACCGGACAGTTCTCTTTGTGACGAGGATGCAGGAGCCATGGGCTCTCGACACACACTGTCGACAATCTACCCATTCGACATACCCTTCCCCACTAGAATGCATAGGGACTGAGTAGACTCAGGAGATTGCTTCGTTGAAATAACAAAATTTGTCAGGTAAAGAGAAAAGAGACGAGGAGGAAAGGGGAGAGAGAGAAGTTCCGGAGTTACCTCTGTCACCCATGCTTGCTTCTTGTCACGCGGAAGAACTGCCACCTGTTCGTACCGAGGCCCGCTCATTGGTTCTGGTTCTTTCCACGGGATGATCTCTTCGCCTTTGGCGACCTTCGTCGGACGATGCAATCGTATCAACCCATCTGCGTTCCCGTGCCTCTCTATCTTTCGGTGGATGATATCGAAATCGTATTCTTGTAACCGCACCGTCCAACGTCCAATCATACCCGTATAATTAGTAAGCCTTTTGAGGACCAATAGCGGCTCGTGGTCGGTAACGAGGAGGAACTTCTGCCCACAAAGATACGGATGAAAATGTTGGATTCCCCAAACCACCGCGTAACATTCTCGCTGGGGAGCTGAATCGTTTCTTCGCTCGTCCGGCACAGTACGGGACGCGTACTCGATGACGTGTTCGCGACTATCGTTCCTCATCTGCGCTAGAATAGCGGAGATTGCCTCGGGCTGCCAATTCGTGATGAGAATGAACTGCTTTGCTGGGTCCGGTCGGATCAAAATAGGTGTCGTGGCCAAGACTTCCTTGAGAGTGATAAAGCCCCGTTTGCACTCCGCGTCCCAGCTGAGAGGCTGGTCCTTTCGTAGCAGATTCATTAGAGGCCGTGCGATAACAAGGAATCCCTTGATAAATAGATGATAATACGACGTCAGTTCTAGGAAGGCTCGAACCTGTGTCAGCGACGTGGGAACTGGAGCATCTCTGACAGTCGCGACTTTTCTCGAATCGGGCCTCAAGCCTCCCCGTGTCACCACGTAGCCCAAAAACGAAATTTTCGAAAGGAAGAACTCGCTTTTCTCCAGCGCAATCTTGAATCCGGCATCTCTCAGTTCTCCCAGCGTCCATTTGATGTGTTGTGCATGCCTGTGGTACGATTTGGAGTAGACCAGAATGTCGTCCATATACACAATAACGCAAAAATTAATCATCCTCTGCGTTAACCGAGTCTTGTTGACAAAGTTCTGGAACGTCACGTTCATCGCTCTTTGAAATGTAGCTGGCGCATTGCAGATCCCCATCGGACACCGAACCCACTGCCACATGCCTTCGAACAAGCCGAAAGTTGTCTTAACATATCCAATCGCATCCAGCAAATCGTCAATCAAGGGGAGGGGATATACATCTTTGATCGTGATATCATTCAACTTACGATAATCGATGCAGATACGGACAGACCCATTCTTCTTAGGCACTAATACGACCGGGAACGACCATGGCCCAGTGGTCAGTTCAATCCATCCGTTACCCTCAAATTCCCTAATCCTCTGTAGAGCTGTCTTTCGTTCCACGAGGGAGTATCGATATGGTTTACAGTGGATCGGAGGGTGGTTTCCGGTCTAGATTTCGTGCTGAATCACTAACGATAGCCCAATATCTGTGTCTGTCACACTGATCGCTCCTTGATATTCCTTTTGAATTTCGACGATTAGGTGGTGAATCTCGTTGGGCACGTAATGTGGTATGTGCAGTTCGTACTGTTGTCCCAATAGTTGGACAGTGATTGCTTTGGTATTAGTCTGTGCAGCGCTTCCGTAAGAGGGTGCGGAGATGAACGAATTGTCTGACCGCCAGGACAACACCGTGGTCATCATCTGCGCATCTTCCTCGCGGATTACCATGTGTTCTTCTGGAGTCAGCCGTCGTGGATATCCTGCCATTGTACCTGCTTCTCCGCGATCTTGATTCCGAGGCCGTTAGGTTCAACTTCGGGACGCCCTGGGGGTTCCAAAGAGTCGGCCTCAACCCCTAATCTTAGCAATCTTATCTCTTTTCCCGAAGTCAACAAGGAACGAGGTAGCTCCGTAATATCACAAAAGGCTCTCTTATCCTTCTACCTTGCAAGCAATGGAGTGGTGCCCTCGTATAAGCTCCGAGGGGGTTCCAAAGAATCGAGCAACTGGGAAATTTGCACAAGCGGCTCGCCCAAAAGTAATGCGCGCATTTTCTGGATGTTTCCTTCCGTGAGTCTGAACGTTTTCGTGGTTGCTTGTCAAATCGGATAGCGGACGCGTTGCTGCACCAACTCCCGAACTACTAACTCGTCTTCGTCACTATTATCGGTGTCACTCAAAAGGTTTGACTCCTCTGTCTGGTGATCACTTCGTTCCTCAAGTTTCTTCCAAGAGATCATTCGGAGAGTTCCCCTGGGTATCGGAGGAGTTTTCTGGGTTGCCTAAGCTACCGTTTTGAGAGTCAATCTCATAGGGATGGTGTATGGTTTCCCTCCCGTATTCCGAAGGACAATCGATCGTCTTTCAAAGTCTAGGTTGGCCCACAACGCCGTGAGAACAGGTAGTCCCAAAAGAACGTTATATGTGCTTACATCTAATACGGCGACATCTCCCATGGCATGTATCTTTCCCAATCGAAATGCCACGTTGGTCATTCGTCCCACTGTCTTGATTTTTTCTTCATCCGCGGAGACGAGATGATCCTTCTCTGTCGGCATGATCACATCGTTTCATCTTCCCACTCTTTCTACTACCCTTAGCGAGATAGCCAAGATGGCGGCTCCTGAGTCGATGATGGCATTGTACGGAATTCCCCAGACCTCGATGTCACATTCGACGGATTTCCACGAGATTGCTTTGATCCGCCGGAAGTGATCATCTTTGGGTATTAGTCCCAATCGTATAGATTCTGACGTACTGGCAGGGTTCGGTTGTCCTCTTGGTCAGGGGCTTTTCCTTTCGTGTTCGCCGTTCTCGCAAGAGCGAATCGTTTTTTATTCGCCTTGCAGTGTTGCAACATGCACTCGTTAGCCTGTTCCGAAATGGACAACAGATGTCCGATCGGGAGGGGAATGCGGTGATCCAGAGCGCAGACGACGTTCAGAACATCTATTTTCCCTGTGACGAAGGTGTGTCCTCCAGATTCCATTGCCCCTGGAGAGGGTCTCCATTCTGCCACCTCCCGCTGTTCATGGGTGGGTCTAATAGTCCCGATCATTCCCAACCCCGGATATCCTAATGTCACGTACTGGTCTAGAGGAATAAGCTTTGTAACTTCTTCTGTAGTGGCTAATGTACTCCCTCCTCCTTCCATTTCTTCCAACATCGCTCCTACTCTTCCTGGCCCATTATCGATGGGTGCCGCAGCTACAGGGGCGGCCCCAACTCGCGGTTGCGCGGGTCGCTGCGGGCAATCCCGAACTATGTGTCCCGGTTGATGACACGTAAAACAAACGTTCAGATTGACACGAACGGCTCCGGCTGCTAAGGCAGAGGCCAATCCCTGCTGTATTGGGGCAGCTCGTACAGCTATGGGACGCATCGATCTCATCATCGATTCGATTCCAGCTTTGTGTTCACGTTGCTCCTTCTTGCTTTCTTGAATTAAGTTGATCAGTGTTTTGGTTAGTTTTAGTATAGCAGCTGATTCGTTCGATCGTGCGGGGTTTTCCACCGGTGTTGGGCGCGTAGTCATCACGGGGATGGGCATTCCCGTGATCATACTATGAGTCGTTTGTTTAGGTGCGATCTGTTCCAAATAGGTGACGGGACCGGACACAAATCCCATACTTTCGAACTTGTTTTGCAGCGTGGCTAACTCGGCCTTGGCACTAGCTAACTCCGATGAATCCTCCTCCCGTGGGTAGTCTTCCCCTTCTAGGAATCTCGCGGCGAACTTTAGCTCCATTTCTTCCACGGAGGCCATAATATGTTGCAGCGTATGATTGATGGGGGATAACTATTTACGCAGCTTCGCCCTCATCGTCCTGCTGCGGAGTCCATCGATAAATAAGTCTCTTCCTACATGCTCTCCTCGCTCTGTTTTTATGAACATTCAATAAAATCTGTTGCGGTATTCCGTGACGGATTCGAGAGGTTTTTGAACTCGATCTTTAATCATGAAGAGAGCCTGTTCGGGATGAATATAATCAAATCAATTCAAAAAGTCCCGCTCGAATGTCGGGAGATCAATCCAAACATAGGTACTAGACCAGTGATGTGCATCTCCTCCCAATCGGGGTTGGATGTTAATCTGTGCTTCATCGTTATCATACTGCAGGGCTCGGAGTGTGGCCAACCATGCTCCGGCGAGATGATGTGCCAGGTCAAAAAGGTAGAGATCGGGTGGGGCCACAAGTGCCCGTGCTCGTGGTGCAGGCGTCGACTGAGCTTGATTGGGATTTTGTTGATTGGCGTTCATGTTGGTCGCCTGCCGAGCACCCGACCTATTTCTCGTGACTATAGGATCGCGGCGCGGCGCGTTCCGCGCTCGGGGGCGTCCTCTGTTAACCAGGTCGCTCTACACTAATCGCCTATCTGTTAAGCCTGGAGCCTGCCACGTGTTGCTCTGATACCAACCTCACGACCAACGCAACTTCCTGGTCGGAGTGGGATGGGGGCCCGAAAGTGTGCAAAAAAGGGGGTGTGCCAAGGATTTTAGGAAAGTGGGGGTGGAGTTCCAGGTCGGGACTGAGATCTCCTGTGACAAGTTTCAGGGGGTATAGGTGCAAAGAGGGTATACTCAGAAAGAGGGGGGGGGGTTGCTGATGTCGTGCAGCATAAGGCAGATGGCGTGAGCAGGGCATCTCACGCTAAAATTTTGGGGCACTTTCCTGCTATCGTCGTACTGGTAAATCTAAACACTCTTGCATTCTCGAACAAATTCCAACAACATTGCCCCTGCCAACAGGTTTAACTTTTAAGGTCGAAAAGAAAGGTGGGGGAAGCACCATCGTCGCTGATTTCGTCTTCGGGGAGGGTCACGCGGTTCGGCCAGTTGTCGGCGCCGCACGTAACAGGCTTTGGATTCCGCCGAGGCGGGCCGTACGTAGAGGTTGTGCAATCGCTGCTCAGCTTGGGTTCGAGTCAGTCGGGTAGTTCCCGAAGCTCGGCTCGCCCGGTGATGATGACAACCCTCGCACGGCGGGCTGGGCCAGTAGCGACCTATGGAATTCTACGGTACCACTGTGAGTTCGTGATATGGGAGGAGGAGATGGAAGGGAGGGAAACTGGTAGTAATTACGACGAAGTCGGGGGATATGAAATATTGGGTGTTATAGGTTTCCGGGTAGTCGGGGCACCTGGGGTCACTAGTTATGGCATAGTGAAATCCTTGGCACATAATCGGCCGTTTTCTGTTAGGCAAGGGAGTTCCGGATTTCTTAAATTTCCCCGTCGTCTGAGTTGTTCGCCCTCCCAATACTCACGATATTCCGGGTCCCCTAGATTTTCGTAGTCGGACGCCTAGGAAGGAGATCTTGCAGCCATGTCTGTTTAGTAAGCCGCACCCCCCACATCCTTACACGAGGTTAAAGCTGACTTTCGCAAGCGAGCGCGTACGTGGCGACTCGGCTCTCTCGAGCTCGCGAACGTACGCACGCGCGTACGTAAGGAACAACTGATTGGTTTCGTGTGCCGGTCGCATTTAACCATAGGTGCAAATATCCTACCAATCACTACATGTCATACATGTGACGCAAAAGGAGGAATGAGGGGATAATCGACAGTTGGACTTCAGACATCCGAAGTGAGCATTCCCAATCAAACCAGATCGCATAACTCATGCAGGCGAATACTGGTCAGAGACAACACAGGCATCGCACAACAAATCGAAAAGATCGCTAACAAAAGAGAACCTACATGTATTCCATGCATACATACGGAGCAAAATAACAAGGAAAATCCGAGACAATTTACCACAGAAATTCAAAGGAGAAGGGTCGTGATAGAGAGATCGACCATATCAGAATCCAAAATTGTACAGATGAACAGAGGAAATGAAAGGAACAACAAAAAAAAGCCTTATCCCACACTCACACCACTGTTCTCTCGTTCCCTCTCTCCTGTTGCGGGCAGTCCGTCGCCTCGCATCAACACCCACGATACTGGCAGTCCGTCGCCGCGTATCAACACAGAGTTGTCACCCCGCTTGGTTCAGGCATGCAAGCCAGGTTCGTCCGTGCGCCACAGTCCACCGCGGCTCCGCACGTCAACTCCTCATACCTGACACCAGCTCGTCGGATCGCCCAACTCTAACAATCACTCACCTTCCAAACTTGCTCATTAGCCGACCCTCACGATCACGCTAACCTCGAAATTCTTAGAGAGTAAACGAATCGCGCTTGTGAAATTTATAGCATACATGCCTGCGCGAAAGGTGTGGGATTAAGCCCAGATGAA